ACAGTCGAATGCCTTCGCATAGTCAATAAAACACAGGTAAACATCTTTCTGGTATTCTCTGCTTTCAGCCAGGATCCATCTGACATCAGCAATGATATCACTGATATCTTCTGAATCAGGCTTGAACTTCTGGCAGTTCCCTGTCAATGTACTGCTGCAACTGCTTTTTAATGATCTTCAGCAAAATTTTACTTGCATGTGATATTAATATCGTTCAATAATTTCCACACGCGCAGTTGGATCACCTTTCTTTGGAATAGGCATAAATATGGATCTCTTCCAGTCAGTTGGCCAGGTAGCTGTCTTCCAAATTTCTTGGCATTGACAAGTGAGCAGCTCCAGCACTGCGTCCTTTTGTTGAAACATCTCAATTGGTATTCCGTCAATTCCTGGAGCCTTGTTTTTCGCCAGTGCTTTCAGTGCAGCTTGGACCTCTTCCTTCAGTACCATCAGTTCCTCATCATATGCTATCTCCTGAAATGGTTGAACGTTGACCAATTGTTTTTGGTATAGTGACTCTCTGTATTCCTTTCATCTTCTTTTGATGGTTCCTGCGTCATTTAATATTTTCCCCATAGAATCCTTCAATGTTGAAACTCGAGGCTTGGATTTTTTCTTTGGTTCTCTCAGCTTGAGAAATGCTGAGCGTGTTCTTCCCTTTTGGTTTTCAATCTCTAGGTCTTTGCACGTGGCATTATAATACTTTGTCTTCTCTTTGCAATCTCTTTAGCTCTTCTACCTAATCATTTCTTCCATGTGCTTTAGCTACCTGACGATGATTAGCTAAAGGGAAAAGAAACTCTGTGCCAGTTAGATCAGCTTTGCCACTAGAGAAGGGGCGTGCAAGTCTCCGCCTGCTGGTGCCTCTGTCTGACCACCCAAAGAGCCGGCTGTGCAGTGCATGTGCCGTCTGCAGACAGCTGACACGGCCTTGAGTGTCTCACCAGACACCAGGGCTGGTCCTTGTTCCGGAGCTTGAGTGCACCAGGTTGGGCTGCTTTCGAGGGGAGCGGTGCAGTGCGGGAGTCTGTGATTCAGTGCCTGGACCCTAGGAAGCTTCCTGGGGCAATCTCTGCAAGGTTTTTAGCTCTGGAGAGGCTCCCCTTGCCCCAGGCCAGCCCCCACCCCTCTGACTGGTGTCCTCTAAGCCAGCCTGGAGGGTACAGCCCAGAGGTAGGAAGCTGGGGGTGGGTGTTCTTTGCAGAGCCTGCCTGTCCCTGGCATCACCTGACACGAGGTTTGCTTGGGGCGGAGCTGGGCAGAGAGAGAAGGCCTGGGTGTGGCTAGTGACCTGGCCCTCAATCAGCATAATGGGAGTAATGGTAGCACCCCCACGGGTGGCTTCGAGGCACCCCCAGACTGAGGAGAGAGTGAGTGAGTCTGGAAGGATGAGATCTACATGAAATGCCAAGGGGCTTTGAGCACTGCCGGAGGCTGCAGAGCTCGGAAGCCTCCCTCCTCCCTCACGCTCCTCTGTCTCCCCCCCTGCACCTCCCCTCCTCACCTGCCTCCTGCTTCTCCCGCCTGGCTTCTCTTCTCATATGGACTCCCTGCTCTACCCTGCCCTTCACCCTCCTCCCCTCTCACCCCTCCCTCTTTGTCCCTCCTCCTTCCCACCTCTTTCAATGAATTCACTGCTTTCAGCCCTGCCCTCTCCCTCCCCCACAGATGCTGGAGTTCCCGCCCCTGCTGCTAGCCACTTCCTTGCTGGGCCTGGTGCTGCTGGCACTGCTGCTGTACCTGTGGCACCGCAGCCAGCACTGGTACTTGATCATATGGAATGAGCTTGTTGTACAGCCTGTCCGCAACATGCTCATGGGCGACAGCAAGGAGCAGCGCATCCTGCGCTATGTGCAGCAGCACGCACAGTCCGGAGACCCGCAGAGCGTGCTGAACGCCATTGACACCTACTGTTCGCAGAAGGAGTGGGCCATGAATGTGGGTGACGAGAAAGGTAAGCAGCCGGTGTGGGGCTGCAAGGGGGAGGGAAACGGGTCCCCTGAGCCAGCTCTACAGTCCTGATGGGAGAGGCCTGTTAGTGCCCCGTTTTCGTGTGGTCAGGAACCAGGGGACAGACGCAGGTGGTGGTGGGGGAGCTGGTCTGGAGCCCTGGGCGCCCGAGCTGTAGGCTCAGCCTCCTGCTCCTTTGTGCCCCCAGCTAAGGGCAGAGGTGAAAGGGGCAAAGGTTGTGCAGACCAGGATACCTCTTGCCAACGGGATACCACAGGGACTTTGCATCCAGGCCTGGGGTCCCGTGGGCAGGGAGGGACGTGGGAAATGTGTTCCTTATTTCTGTAAAGAACAGCATAGCCCGCGCACAGCACTTTTCCACATCCTAACTCATCCTCACTCCCCGGAAGGCCTGGTGTCTCGGGCCAAGACAAGCTCTGAGCAGGTCCTGCACAGCCTGAACTCAGGACCGTGCTGCCGGAGGCCCAGCCCCACACCCACATCGTCCCGAAGAGCCGGGCCCGAGGAAGGGCAGGCAGTAGGGCATGCACCCGCAGCACTGTGGCTAAGAAGGGCCTGGGCAGGTAGAGAAGGCACCATGGGGCAGGGTAAAGGTGCCCCACCCTCCTATGGACTGCCTCCATCCTGGACCCCAGCCAGGTGTTGTGCTGTGCCAAACTCCCTGGAGCTGGGCCCCGGGCACAAACACGACAGACTCTGACCTGCTCCCTCAGAATGCCTGATAGAGTATCCAGTTCAAGGACGCCAGGGAGGCCCCAGTTGCAGCTTGTTTTGTCGGGGGAGCGGTCTTCCAGAAAGGGCAGCTCTGGGTGAAGACACTTCGGAGGGAGCCAGCGGGTGGGAAAGGGAGGAGAACTGGCGTGTGCAAAGGCATGACGGACTGTGTGGAGCAGGTCCTGAGCTGGGCCTCAGAGGGGGTGAGGGATCCTCCCGCAGCTGCTGAGGGGTGGGAAGGTGGGCCAGCCACTGGGGAGAAACACCAGGCCCAGGACTGGAGACGTGGACTCCTTGGAGAGGCATGGGCTTGCACCTGGGTCTGACTCGGCATCCCCCCACCTCCTCCCTAGGCCTGATCGTGGATGAGGTGGTGCGGGAGCGCAATCCCATGGTGCTCCTGGAGCTAGGTGCCTACTGCGGCTACTCGGCTGTGCGCATGGCCCGCCTGCTGCCACACGGCAGCCACTTGCTCACCATTGAGCTCAACCCTGCCTTTGCTGCCATCACCCAGCAGATGGTGGACTTCGCTGGCCTGCAGGACAAGGTACCATACTACCCCCTCACCCGCCGTGTTACAGAGATGGACGCTGAGGCTAGAGGGTGGGGCAGGTGAGTGGAGAGGCCAGCTCAACCCAGTGTGTCTCAAGATGCATCCCAGGACAGTTTCATGTCACCCCACAGCTCTGTGAGGGTGGTCTGGGTGCCCTGTCCTACAGAGCAGGAGACTCCCAAGTCTGCGTAGGAGAGGTAGGGACTGAGATGGGTGTCCAGGCAGAGTCCTCTCTTCTGCCCATGTAAGCTCTCTGGGCAGGACTGTCAGGGGCTGGAGGGACAGAGGTGCTGGGTATTGACGGGGCCATCATTTTCTAGGTAACAGTTCTGGTCGGGGCATCCCAGGACATCATCCCCCAGCTGAAAAAGAAGCATGACATAGACAAGCTGGACATGGTCTTTCTTGATCACTGGAAGGACCGGTACCTGCCAGACACACTCCTCCTTGAGGTGAGCTGCTCGTGGTCCCTGCCCTGTGCTTATTGCTGGGCATGGACACTGCCAGGTCTGGCCCCCATCGTCTGCCTCAGGCCCCTCTGACGAGCAGGCACCCAGGCCAAAGCCCTTCTAAATGCAGTCCCGGGGCGCATGGGTAGCAGGGGCCTGGGCTGCCAAGCCCCTGCTAGGCAAGTCGCAGCCTGAGGTCAAGGCGTCCGAGGGCCAGAGGTGGCCCCACAGTGAGAGTGGAGACAGGGAAGGGGGCCTGTGCAAAGGGCACCTGGCCAAGGACCGGGCAGCCAGCTGGGGCAGTGGGGTGCCAGCATGCCTGAGCCAGCAAGGTGCTGCGGTCGTGGGCAGAGGGCGGGAGGGACCTCGGAGGTGCAGCAGCAGGGAGGGGGCTGAGCATGGCCGATTGGACACCTGGCCTACGAGACAGTGGGGAACAGATCTCCAGAAGGGAAAGAAGCTCTGGCAGTGTTACCTGCTCTCCCAACTCGGCTGCTGGCCCAGCCCCACCCAGCGAGGACCCTGAGCGTGACTCGACTGCGCCTCCCCTGGTGAGGCTAGCAGTAGTAACTGGGGGCCTGTCCTCGGTCCCCAGGTGGGTGGAGCCGGGGCATTGGGTGGGCCCTTAATAAACTGACATGTGGCATTTAATATTGATGACTTATCAGCTGTCCTTATCCTGGGAAGCCAGGTCAAGGCAACAGGGACATGGAGCCTCCACCAGGGGCTCTAGATGTTCCTCCTGGCAGTCAGCCTGGGCTGTCCCTGAGTTGTCCATCTTGCACATGTGGGGATGCTCTGCCATGCACCATGGGACCGCAAGGGCAAGGAGGACAGTTGCCTGAGCCACGATCCAGAGGTCAAGCAAGAGCCTCCACACCGAGGGGTCTGGTGCTGCCTGTGTGGGGGGCCGGGCACGTGGGCAGAGCGGGCCGTTGGTAGCCTGAATATGGAAGGGATGGAGCCACCACCAGCAAAGGTAGCTGTGGGGAGTACACCCAGGGTGGGCCAGGGGGAGGCCCACACCCAGCTGAGGGGTACGGAACTGGAAACTGGGTATCAAGGGCAAAGAATCTGGCGGCCTACAGGAGAGGAAGACCCACAGCAGGGCTGTACCATGGCAGGGTGGGGGCTGCGAGGGGGCTTCAGCAGCTCTGGGCTGTGTGGTAATTAAGGGGCCTGTATTTATAGAAAAGCAACAAATATTACAGTTCAGTAACGAGGAAACTAATGGTTTCCTCAGCATTGCTTATTCAAAGTAGGTAATTATCTCAAAAGAAGCTAAGTGATGAATTGGAAATGGCTGTAGTTTTTAAACTTGTACTCCCCAGACCTGCAGCTGGGGCTCTGCAGCACCTTGGCTTCTGCTGGGTCAGGGCAAGCCTGGCTCAGTGGAGGCCCAGTCACCCCTCCCTCCGTCGGCTCTGTGAGCATCGGCAAAACTGGAGGGTGAGGGGTCAGCAGGGGGCAGGATGGCTGCTCAGAGGACGCCTCAATTCCTTGTCACATGGGTGTCTCTGCAGGCTGGTTGAGCATCCTCAAAACGTAACAAAGACCAAACCTGTTGCCAAGTTGATTCCAACTCATGCATGGTGACCGCATGCGTTACATAGTAGAACTGTGCTCCACAGGGTTTTCTTGGCTGTAATCTTTGTGGAAGCAGACTGCCAGGGCTTTCTTTCGTGGTGCCACTGGGTGGGTTCAACTGCCAACCTTTAGGTTAGTAGTCAAGTGCAAACCGTTTGCGCTACCCAGAGACCTTGGCAGCTAGCTTTTCCCAGAGCAAGAGATCCGAAAGAGACAGAGAGAACACAAAGAGAAGCTGCAGTGCCTTTTTATGACCTCGCATCCATGGAGACCTGAGTGACACAAATGTTTAAACGCTTGGCTACTAGCCAAAAGGTTGGCATTTCGAACCCACCAAGAAGCACCTTGAAAGACAAGCCTAGTGATCTGCTTCTGAAAGGTCACAGCCTTGAAAACCTTATGGAGCAGTTCTACTCTGCACACGTGGGGTCACTTGATGTGTGCAGTCAACTCAAAGGCAACTAACAACAACTAATAACAAATCCAAAACCACGCACCGCACCATCGCTTCGGCCTTATCCTGTTTGTTAGAAGTGAGCGACCAAGGCCAGCCTTCACACAAAGAGAGAGGAGTTAGGCTCCACCTCTTGAAGGGAGGCGTATCAAAGAATTGTGGACACACTTCTCAAGCCACCTCCCGGTAGTGCTAGGGCAGGGCGTTCCTTGGCGCTCCACTCTCTCCATGTCAGGAGCTAACTCCATGGCCCACTCAGATTCAGACGTTCACTTCTGGCCACAGTTCTCCGAGTGGGCTGCATCCTTCCGTCAGGCATCTGGGGAAAGCAGGATGGACTCTGCCTTCTTCCCCCTTGTGGCCAGTTTTCAAAATGACGAGTGGGTTCCCCCGCATCTTCCTAAAGTAGCCAAAGCTGCTTTCTTTATCCGTAGTTATTAATTCATGGATTTTAATGTTTGATGTCTTTTCAATCTATTGATGTCATCAGTCTTACTGATGGTCAGATTGTCCCCGTGGCCACCAGCAGTACATCTTCAAGTGGGCTCCTGAGTCCTTCTGGCACGACCCTAGAAATCTTGGAGCGGTTTGTGGCTCATCTTGCCCATTTCCTGCCCCATACCACTCACCACCCATTTCTCCGTAGGCTAGGGGCGAATGCGAGCTACTCCTGGGCTGCTTGTTGTTCTAGGACTTTTGAGCCCACAAAGCTGGGTAATTACTTTTTTAAGAGAATACATCAGAATTCATACTGGTGCTTCCTATTACGTTCAAGACCACGGTTGGGGGTGGGGGGGAGTCCTTAACCTCATGACCTGACTGCTGTGTGTTTGCCACACTCTGGCCTCAGCAGCTGTACCCCCAGCCCGCAGCAGGCTAGAAGGGTCCGCGCCACCACCAGGAGTGTGAAGACACTGTGAGGCCTGTTTGACCCGAGGGCCTCTCCCTGGAGGGGCACTGGTAGAGTCCTGATTGGAGCAGCCACTCGGTGCATTCGGGCCAACAACTGAGGCGCATTTGATTTTGCTTTCAATGCTGGGTATTGCCTCTTTTCAACTTTCATATTAGATTATGTAAAAAAAGCAACATGCTTCCAAAGTCAAATCTATAAAAGAAAGCTGAACTCAGAGATGTCTTGCTGCCTTCTTACCCTTCACCCAGGCCTGTCCCTCCCCCATAGGTAAACACTTCAAGGTTCTATTGCTTTGTTTAAGCAGAGACGCCCTCCTCCCCTAACCATGTGCCCTGAGGGTTACTTCCTCCATGGTAGTGTGTCCAGTGTACCTCTTTCCTATACAGAGCCCAGGATAAGGCATGCTGCCATCCTCGGTTTGTCCCTGTAACCCAGGCATCCTCCCAGGGCCCTGGGAGTCAGTGGACATGAGATGTCTGGAAGCACAGGAGCTTGGGGTATTCAGAGCAGACCCGAGGGGCCTTTTCTTCCCTGCCACTTGGCCAGTGGGGGATCCACCCTGTCCCCCAGTACTGCACAGTCACCCTGTGTCAGGCCGGATTGGCATCCTGGCTCCCCAGGTCACACACTGGTTACCGCTCCAGCAGCCCACACACCTGGGCCTCAGGCACCTCTCTGTTGGAAGAGCCACGTGTTGATGACATGGGGCATGAGGAACCCACTGGCCTTAGGGTTGGCACAGTGGTCTTATCTGGCCCCATCATCTCCACACACTCCTCCACCAAACATTTATTGAGCACCTACTGTATGCAGTACACTGTTCTAGGGGCTGGGGATACGGGAGGAGCTTACATTCTATAACCAGGACTTGCCTTCAGCACAACCTTTTCTTTCCAACAGTGGTTGTGCTGGGCACAACGTGGAGGAGGGTCTCTTCAGGCAGGGTGGCAGGGAGACCTGCACAGGAAAAGAGCCAGGGGGCAAGCCACAGGACCGGGGCAGGCTTGGGGGGCACACCTGACCCTCTCCTCTCCATCCCTCTGTCCCCTGCAGGAATGTGGCCTGTTACAGAAGGGGACAGTGTTGCTGGCCGACAATGTCATCTGCCCAGGAGCACCAGATTTCCTGGCACACGTGCGTGGGAGCGATCGCTTTGAGTGCACACATTACCCTGCGCACCTGGAGTACAGGCAGATGGTGGATGGCCTGGAGAAGGCCATCTATGTGGGCCCAGGCCTGGGTGGTCCAGCACAGCCCTGACCACCCACCCAGGCTGGCCTCTCCTCGCTGCTGCACCGAGCTGTCACACACAGGTACATCACAGAGCACCATGGGGCACACAGAACAGAATCACTGTAAAGAGTCTGGGAAGGCATTTGTTTGTAAAGACAGAACTGGAACAGGTTCAAGGTGGTGCCTATTCACCGTGCTAACATTCTGAGAGGCTTTCTTTCAGGTCTGACTCCAGTGGGCAGGTCCTCGGGCTAACAGAGGCATCCATTAGGTGCAGGAAGTAGAGGGAAGTTGGGAATATTTGAAAACTGTCAGGGGTGTACTCAGTCTGCCCTCAAGATTCACTGTCCCCAGGTGGCAGCAATGCCTCAGTGATGGCACTCAGACCAAATGCTCATAGCACACGTCTGGTTTTTAAAGAATAAAACTTGATCATTTTGCTAAAAACAACTACCTATAATAATCTTACACACCAATATCATGTTTAAAGGATATAAAATAGAAATTAAAAATACCTAAACATTTAGATTGACTTAGTACTATTCTTCTCAACCACTGCGCTGCTCCCTCCTGCTCCTGGAGCCCTCAATTTTGGCACAAAACATGCCATATTCCCCTTGACTGGACACTAATGCTGCCACCAGGTGCTGGCCAGCTGGGTTGAGTGTCACATCCCACCCAGGGGCTCCCAGTCACCAGCAGTGGGAGGGGGAGTTGGCCCTGCTCAGCACTGCTTCTGCTGTGACTGGGCCAGAGCATCTGTTCCAGCCCCACAGGGATATCATGGGTTGGGGGTGAGCCTCATCTAGAGGCTGTCCCACCTGGGAAAGCAAAAGAGCAGTCAGCCAGCTGTCAGCACCCATCTCTGACCAAGCAGGTGCTGCAGAGGGTGGGTGTGGTGACGCAGCAGTGACAGCGTGATTTCCGGACCCACACACGGTACTGCACTGAACTACCCCCCTTGGTCCCGCGAGCCTTGTTTATGAAAGAGAAAGTAGGCTCAGAATCCATGGCGTTTCTGCAGATTGCCCAGCAGGCAAGTGATGAAGCAGTTGGTCCACATCTTACCTAAATTCAGAGCTCCCCCAACCCTGCCTTGATCTCTGACATCAACTCCCCAGAACAGTTGCACCACTCGCTGCCCCTCAGGCTCCCCAAGAACTCATTAGCCTGATTCCTAGACCCAGGATGGAGATCAATGCCTGGCCAACCTGTGCTCGGACCAGCCTCAGACCAGGGCAGCGCCCCTGGGCTCAGGGTCCAGTTACCACTAAGCAGTAACCCCACTCTCCTTTGGGAGAGGATCAACAGCATGCCTGAGGGCACATGTGGGGTGAAATGCCCACAATCCCAGTCTGGAAGCTGTGAGGTGGACCAGGCCAGCAGATGGACAGCTGGCAGCTGTGCACCCATTCCTCACTCAGGCAAACTGAGGCCTGTACTCTCTGCACTGAGGGAGAAGCAAGCAAGCTTGGGAGAGAACTGAGCCACAGAAAAAAATAAGTTCCTTTGCTTTTTTAATGTTCAAAATTTCTTACAAAAATCTAGATGTTTACCAATATGGTTGTATTTTGGTTCTGTTTTTAATGTTTTCTATCAGTGTTTTTCTTCTGTTTTTAAGTTACAAACAGCAGGCACTGAACAGCGACCCCCGCTGCTGCCGGAGGTCAGTCCCAGAGGTGCTGTGGGACAGCCTGGGCAGCTGCAGCAGCACGGCCCATGGGACCAGAGTCGGTTCTCGAAAGGCTTCCACTGCCCGGGGCTCCGTGCATCCACAGGTCTCCCAGGGCAAGGTGGGGGCCACGCTCAGCCTGATCCCTCTCCGCCAGGCAGGACCCCTTGCAGCAGCCGTGTGGGCTGCCTGCCACACAGAGTAGGATTTGGGGGCCCAGGGATCCCCTCCACCCACCCTCCGTGTCCTGCTCCTCACCCTCCAGACCATGGCCACCTGTGCAGCTGGCTTTGGTCCCTGTTCTTCTCTAAGGCAGGTGCTGCACAGCCACTGTGCACACATGCACGGTCTCCTAGTCCTACACCGGGCACCCTCTCCTAGTCACTTGGCCACCTGCTGAGCCGGGCCACCTTTCTGGCCCCCATCCCCCCAGCAGCAGCCCGGCCTTTTCTCTCCACACAGCACCATGTCAGTAAACATCTAATGAGGGGCCTAAGGAGTTAGGGAAAGTGGAGGAAGGAAGGAGCTCAGGGAGACAGCAGGGGTATCTAGAAGGCCTGGCCCTGGCTAGGGGAGGAGGGGCTGGAAGAGGCACTGCCAACCCCTGCCACTAGGGGGCTCCAAACTCCCCAGCAGTGTCTGCTCAGCATGGCACTGGAGATCCCGTTCTTCCCACGACAAAAAGTCCTAAGAACAAACAGCTGGGCCCCGGCCCTGAGAATGGAAAGAGAGAGAGGTAAGCACTGCAGCCATGAGCACAGGCAGCTGGCCTGGCTTGCAGGCCCCCGGAACGGGCTGAGCAGAGCAGGACCTGGTATGACCTCTGGGCAAGGCAGCTGGGCAGCAGGGGGTACTACCACCTGCACAGGTAGATGGGAGATGTGGGCAGTGGACTCACAGGATGAGCTGACCAGAGCTCCTTGGTGGACTCCCCCAGCGCCAGCCAGGGTGCGTGTGGCAGCAGGGATGGACCCCATCTGCTCACCCACGGGTGGCGCAGGCCTACCCGAGGATCTTAGCATCATAGTCAGTAACGACATGATAGTTCTCATGGGGTCCTGTGCTGGGGGCTTTTGAGGGTGTAGGGGACCGTCCCTGATCTGGCCCCATCTCCTCGAGAACTGATCCCACAGTAGCTAGGATAAGAATGGGGACTCTCTCTCTCTCAGGCCTCAATCTGTCCTTCCCTAAGACGGGCTTGTGGACCTGCTGCGCACGTGGGGAGAGCAGAGCATGCATCCAGCAGAGATTAACGAGAAGCCCCTGGCCCAGAGGATAGACACTTGGACGAACAACCAGATGAGAAGACGTACCAGGCATGCAAGCTAGACCCAGGAGTCAACGGGCTGAGGTTTAGCGTCCCCCACGGCGTCCACCAGCCTGACCGCGGCCCTGCTGGGCCCGGGAGGAGGGGCCTTCCTGCCAGACTCTGGCTGCAGCGGATGGGGGGTGGCAGGAGGGTTAGAGGCAGAACAGTGCAGGTTAGGGAGCTGATGGCAAAGAGCTGGGTTGGTCTTTGGGGGCAAGGGAGGGACGGGTGGAGCAGAGATAGGGGATGAGGGTGGGCTTGCCAAGGTAGTCCCAAGGGGAATGCTGGAGGAGGGTTAGGGGAAACGGGCAAGTGAGGTTCACACAGCCATGGCGTGATCCATGGACACATACAGAGCCCTATATGAAGCCAGGGAATTGGCACAGAGCAGGGGACAGGTGAGGCCACGGGGGCCCTTGCCCACGCACATACATGCATAGAAGGTGAAGACACGCTTACTCACAGCCTCCCTCTCTGTAAAATCTAACCAGGTGATCCTCTGTGACCCATACCCCTCCCTCCGAACAGGTATCAGCACCCAAAAACTAAACAAGAGAACCATCCTAGGTGGATGAGGCAGCGCCTGAGCCCAGGCCAGGATCTGAGTGCTCCCGGGCCACTGCTTGGGCTTGGCCTGACAACCCACAGCCCTGCAAATGATGCCCATCCCCAGACAGCCCCAGGGCCTACTCCAAACTCAGCCTCCCACCTGGGCCCCTTTCCAGGCACCCCTAGACATGCTGCTTCTAAAAGGAACCTGCCCACAGGTGCTTACTTTCAAGGGCTCCTTATCGAAGACCTCTCCTGTAGGGTCACTGCCCCGGACCCTTCGATTTGGCCGGTCAATGGTGGAATATCCATCTATGGGGGCAGTGTGGGTGGGTGATGAGGGAAACTGAGGGGTGGGCACCAGAGGAGTGGTAGACTTCCCTCTTCAGTCCACACCCCAGGGGGCCCTTTGGGCATGGTATACCCCTACGGGTCTGGAGACCTGTGCACCTCACCACCAGCTCTCTCTAACCCCTGCCTTTTTGCGGTCTGGGCCTATTGCCCCTTGCTGGCTCCCATCACAGCTCAGAACCCTTTACCCACCCCCCAACAGCAGGCAGATCAGAGACCCTAGTGGGATACCTGCTCTGCTGCCCTGCCCTGCCCCTCACACCCCCAGCACTCCTAAACCAGATCTCTCCTCCCCAGCCAGCACTTGACCTTACCATACCCAGTGCTGCACTTAATCCATAAAACTCTCTGTCTGCCTTGCCTCTAGTCCCTCCTTGCTGCACAGGAAACAAGCAGCCCAGCCCCTGAACTCACCTGGTCCCAGGGCATCCATGGGGATCATGTCCCGGCTCCCTGGCTTCTCACCATCTGCAAGATACGCACAGGTCAGAAACCAGGGGTGCCCAGAAAGACCAAGGCAGGCAAAATCACAATGGCCCTGAGCTGCCCTCAGCCACCAAGATCTCTGCATCTCTCAGCACATGGCATCCCCTCCTCAGCTTCAAACCAACAGACACCACAGGCAGATACGATAAAGAAAGCAGTGAGCAGAGAAAGTGGCCCCCTTCCTGGAGTCCTGTCTCTGCCCACCCCATACCCACCATCAGTATGGGTGTATAGTGTACTCTTGCACCTCCAAGTGAGCTCCCATGCACCACCACCCCCAGGCCACACTCACCGACGCTCTTGTCCACCAGCGGCAGCGTGCTGTCGTCGAAGGCCCCTGGACTCTGCACCCCCTTGGGCCCCTTGGCAGCGGCAGCGGCCGACTGGGGAGGAACACACAGGCACGGGGTTAGGTCGGAGATGCTCCTGGGAGAGAACAGGCAGGGGGCCAGAAGGCACCCAGTTCGGTGGAGGAGGAGGAAAACCTGGGCATCCTCACCTGGAAGCGGGCCTTGGTCCAGCCTTCCTTCTGCAGGGCACTGCGCAGGTCCTTGTAGCTCCACACTGTCTGCAGCACGTGCGATGCAGCCTTCGCCTCGCGTACCGACTGGCTGCAGCCAAGTTCGAGGGGGTGTCACCGCCTGGCCACCCCCCCCCGGCCCCACCCTCCTCACCCATATAGCCAAACTCCCGCGGATCCGCCCACCTGGCCGCGCCGAGTGCCACGAGCGCAGGCACGCCGCGGGCCTGCAGCAGCGAACGGGCGTTGTCCGGGCTGTCGGACACGATCTCATGGATGGTATTGAGCACAGCCACCACTGTGTCCTCCTCCAAGTGTGCCCCAGGCGGCGCCGGCGCCTGCGCATTGCGCACGTTCCGCACCAGCTCCGCCATGGCGTAGCTCCCTGGGGGCGGGGCCCGGGTGTTAGGATACAACCCCGCCCACCCGTGCGGGAAGGAGCGGTGTCCAGGCGTGGGGCAGTGTGACAACCACAGCAAAGAGCGGGCGGAGCCTCAGGCAGAACCAGTGCGAGGGACCAAGGGACCGGATTCCTGAGCCACCCGCAGTCCTCCTCAAGTGGGGTCCAGAGTCACTTGCCCCGTTCCGCACCCCGCCTGGGCCCGGCCGCCGGCGTCCTCACCAATGAGGTCCTTGTTG